GAATTTGCTGGAGCCAGGGTCAGCGAGGAGAGACTACTCCTCGGCAAAATCTGCAGAGACTTCGTGCCAAAGCGCGGCTTGCCTAAACGCCAGCCTCGTCAAATCGAGAGGAAAACCTGCCGTCATTCGTCGCGACCACCGTGGCAACCGTAAGCCCGGAGGGAGCCGAAGACCGACCTTCTCACGCTTCTTGCTCGTCCAGCAGCCGTTGCTGGCTCGGTAGCAGCAGCCCTCCAAGAACGGCTCCTCTGTAACACTCCATGTCTTGCGATGGCTCTGGCGATGACAGGATAGAGCTCCTTGCGCGATGAGCACCCCCGCACCACGGAGGCTGCGACTACCTGCACCAGAGGTCGAAGACAACCGGAAGAGAAGTCTGAGGCCAACGCGACCTTGTTCGGGTAGAGAAGCGCGCACGTGGCTGCCTGCACAGCTTCGTCCTGTACGACGATGGCAATCTGACACTATGGCCTCCGAACACAACGCCAGCATTACATATTTCATCAAAACCCTCTATTTCGACAGACTGTGAAGTCATCACCCTAGGCTCCTCTGCGATTCGCCCACGGGCCTCCTGGCAATGAGCGCCAGGCTTACGGCCACAAACAAGTCGATGAGAATCGCTTCGGCCGCCTGCACAGATTCCTCGTCGCTGCATTCGATGTCAGCACCTACAAAGGGGACGTTTATTGGCGCGAATGTACCCGAATTCGTATACTGTGCACGGACCTTTCTGGAGCTGCGCAGCAAAACTTGAGCTGAGGCATTCTAAGGCGTGGGCTCAAAACAATGCTTTCATGACCGCCCAAGTCACGCGGAGTCGAGAAAGCCTCGGTTCAGCTGCGTGGGCCGCATCTGCGACTGAAAAAGTGCTCGGCTCCATCTGCTTGTCACGGAACCGATGTTCGACAGGCAAGGTCACCCCTTGGCCTCACCTGCTCACTAAAGGTACAAGACGGTACAAGTAGCAAGGCATTGCATACGCATCCACCTCTTGGTCAGCTTCTATCCACGGGGATCTTCCTGAGCATGGCAATGCCATCTGCCCGTGGGGCTCCATGCGAAAGACTCTGATTCAAGCCCCGCACTTGACATGCGGTCGTGTCTTCCTAGTCTAGCGGGACCTGCCACAAGAGATGTAAAAGATTGTCCAAGCGGGGGCGGGGCAGGGCTTCTCGGTGCAAGCAAATCCTGAGCGACTGACCATCGCTGGTCATAGCTTTCACCGAGCCCCACCGGTTGCGCCTTTCTTGGCTGATCTGATCGTCCGCTCATCTCAGATTCGCTGGCTGCACCTTGCTCTTGGTGGCAGAGTCTCGGCTTTGCCTGCGATGGCAAGCCCACTGGCTCGTAACCTTCGAAAGGCGCTGCTTTGGTGGGCTAAAAGTCGGACGCCTCCACAATCTGCGGATCTCACCTCCGCCGCTCGCAGCTTGGGGTGCTGTTGCGGAGCAAAGCCATCTGCGCGGCGAAGGGCAGCTCCGCACCACCAGGGCGCTCTCCGACCTCAGGCACAGGCTGCTGTAGAAAGCGCAGCGGCAGAGCAGCTCTGCGACAGATTGAGCTGCAAGCCCAAGTGTCCTTTGTGGAAGGTGCGGGCATGGCCACCGGGCCCCACTGGAACAAAATTCGAGGATTCTTGAACTCTTGAAGAGTAGGCTGGCTTGGGCCTGTGGAGTGGATTTGCAAATGCTGCTTCTGTCTGCTGCATGCAAGCGTGGCTGCTTGGCTCGGTCCCCTTGAAACGTGCATCGTCGCCAGTGCATTTGCACCTGTGCTCAATCAAAATGCAGAGCTGGGCGGACGTGAAGGACTCCTTCCACGACTGCCGGAGCCGGGCTTGCCTTCAGCGGGCATGCAGTGCCTCATGATCTCTTCGGCATGGCACTCGAAGGCCTCTCCGAGCTGCGTGGCCGCATGCGCCACGGAAGCCGCCACCTGCGTCGTCGTCGAGTCAAACGAGGGCGAGAGCTTGATCAGCTTGGCCTGGTGGATCTCGGCGTAAGCGTCGCGGAGCCTTCTTTGTGAAAGCACAGCAAAGCACTCCGTGACAAACTCACTGATGCACACGCACACGCATACGTGCACCCACCCACTCACCCACCCACACGTCAGTGATGCCTTCCGGCATGGAAGTGGCCCTAGCATGTGTTCAATGTGGTAGATCAAGCTGGCTAAATCAGGATGGCGAAGCACAAGCAGGCGGTGCCTTGGAGGTGCGTACACAGATAAGTGTTGCTCCCGCTGAACTGTTCAACCGCCCCCCCATCGACACACGTCGACAAACCTTTGCTCCCCGGCTCGTGCATATCTTGAACCACTGAATCAAGCACAACTTGCACAAACCTGCGGAGAGTGACCACCGCTCTCCGATCGATCAATCGATCGATGAATCAGCGCACAGGTGGTTTCTTGTTTGCACCACGTCTGCAGAAAGGCGCACGTAAAACACAGAACCATAAGTTGCCACTGGAGTGGCCATTGGCTCGGCAGAGGCCGCTCGCTTGCATCCTCTTGCTCACCTCAAATCAGATCACTTCAATGCTGCTTTGAAAGAGGAACCTTTGCCCACACTAATCTGAGCCATTGGCACATGCCAGAATGAACCAGTGGGCTATGTACATGTGGTTCGTGTCTGGCCGTGCTTGAGCTCGCCAGGTCCACAGCCTAGGACGGGAAGCCCCTTGCATCGTGTTTGTGGATTCTCTCCTTCAATCCTGGCCTCACCCGACAAGTCTCTCCAAATGTTTCTGGCGATCTCTTCTGCCAGCCTCGTCAAGCGATTGGGAGCCCGCTGTGCAAGACAAGCAGAAAACATCACAGCAGGAAGGAATATAAGATTGAATAGTGTGTTACAAACAAGACTAGTGCCTCTAGCACGCTACTACCAATAGCACAACACTACCCTCATCTCACCATCAGCCTTTCATCATCAGCCGTGGGCCAGGCTCCATTGCACGGAGCCCAATCTCCAAAGACTCCGCCGCTTCCTGCAGCCTCTCGTCCTCACAAATGCCAGAACGACGCAGATGATCAAACATCTTTCCTATGTACCTACTCAGCCTACCATATCCAGAGCCATTAGCATTAGAATACGTCCTCGGTGTGTAAAGCATGCGCTAACACACATCATGATGCTCCGAACTCTGCGGCTTTGGATTTTCAACGGCAACATGTATAGGCCGGATGCAATAACAGCCAGACCTATGGAATGATATGCAACAACAGTCTTCAACATACCTCAACACGACACCGCGCAAACCCGCCCTAAACTGGGCTCGGACCCGAGCCCAGTTTAATTCCATAACAATGTTTTGCAGTGCGCCTGGGTGCTGCTATAATGTCTCACCAAGGGAGAGCCAGATCTTCATTGTTTGGGCTTACATCCTGGAAAAGCCGCTATTAACATAGATTTCGCATACACATCTAAACGAGGGTCGTGCCATGCGCATGCGTGTAAACTTTGTTGTATAGACATAGATACAGATATAGATATAGATGTAGATGTAGATATAGATGTAGATATAGATGTAGATATAAATGTAGATATAGATGTGGATATAGATATATTTATGGATACAGATATAGATATAGATACAGATATGGCCATTATACGTACCTACACAGCTACAACACCTATATACATAACAGAACTCGTGCTTATGTATGTTTCCCGTCGCTACTTTGCATTTGTGCTTCTCACGCCGGCTCCTCGGAGCGCTGCGCATCCAGAAGCCCAGCCTTCTCTTGGAGCCTGCCAGTTCTCTCACATCAGAACCCTCATCATAATATCGATACCCATATATTATATGTGTATATATATATATACATTCATTATGAAGAAAGTTGAGAGAGAGAGAGAGAGAGAGAGAGATATATATATATATATGTATTCACAACCCACATACGTACTACCGACAATCTCAGGTTTACCCATGTTCAGCCCATGTTTATCTTCATTTTGCAGGATCGAGGTAGTAAGCAGCAAGGGAGAGAGAACTTACAGCACAATCGAACAGCATTGAAATCGTTAGACTTGGCATGGCCTGCAAATGCTGTGCATTGCCAAACAGATGGTCTTGTTGCGCTCCACATTGGTCTAATGAATGACGTGCAATCCATGCCACCAAAACCTGAACGTGCGTGCATCCGCCGGTCAAACGAGAGGATGAGCTCCTTCTGTTTAAGTCAAGTGCTGTTACAACCCGACTGACAGCGGGTTCTCTACCTCTTCTGTGATAGCTGATGGCAGTTCCAAAAGCACTTTTCTCCATCCTTTCATTAACTTTCATTTGTCATTCCTTCCAGTCTTTCGGCTCCTTCGTCTTGCATACCCTTGTCGGCTCTTGCTTGAAATCCTGCCTTTGCCAATTTTCAGCTTGCTTTCTGCAGGTTGCTAGCGGTTGCATCCGCAGCCAGTCAAAAGACAGCATGCCAAGGCAGTCGTCGCCTGGTGAAGGGGCCCACTGCGTGATTCGCCCAGCTCGACTCGGCCTCCCAGAGTCCCCCCGCTTGCTGCACTCCAGAAGGCAAGGCCAAGCCTGCGCCCGCTTGAAGAAGAGCATGGGGGCAAACCTCGAAGATGCTGCATACGGCATACGCTCACCGGAATTAGGCATCCCGCTCGGGCTCGAGCTGGCTCTGACTTCTCTCCTACAACTGGACCCAGGAAAAATGCCGGCAGCCACAGCTGCTATAGGACAGCCGTCCTTGCAGCTGTCTTCCTCTTCATTCTCTGGTGGCACCACCTCGTCACCGCAGGATGCGCCGATGAAGGCCGGACTTTCTCTAGGTCTCTCATGGGACACCGGGTGCCAGGCCACATCGAGCTGACCTGCGTTCCTCAGTGCTGAGCTGCGTAGGCAAAGTTCGCACGACACACAGCCGGCGCTCTATCCAGGAATTCAGCAAGGTCGCAACGGGCCAGGATTTTTGGGCTGAACAAATGGAAATGCCAGTCTTGCCTACACTTCTGGTAGCATAGATGGCCGAAGGAACTCTCACGCGGCAAGACGGACTGCACCATCAGTGCTCACGCGCGTCTCTGGGGCTTCTGATTTCTCGTTGCAACCACCTTGCTTGCTGCAGCCACCACAGCCACTTCGCTTGTCGCTGCAGCTTCCACCGGTGGCAGGACCTTCGGCGCTTTTGCTCCCACAGCCGCCGCTCTTGCCGCCGCAGCAGCCTCCACCGCTCTTTTCGTCGCCGCTCTTGCTCCCGCAACCACCTCCACCGCTCTTTTCGCCGCAACCGCCGCTCTTGCAGCCTCCTCCCCCACCTCCGCAGCAGCCCCCAGAATTGAGGATCTTGTTCAAAGCCTGTGCAGCAAAAACGACTTCTGGTATATCTCGGCCGGTCTTTGCTGCAGTCTCCAAGTTCTGCTCGTCATCTGCTAACAAAAGTAGTTGAAGAGCTTCAGAGGTACTTTCCAAGAGCGCTGTGCCTTTCGAGGCCAGCCAGCGCTTCTCCTTCAGCTTGGCTGCGTATTTTGGAACGAGCTCTTGCAAGGCGCTGAGGGCGGCGTCCAGCGACACGTTCTTGGTGCCTTCCGCGCGCAGGCATTGTACAACCCCCAGCACGTGCTCACACTGCTGCAGCTCCCCCTCCACGCAGAAGTCGATCTCAAGTTCGGGCTGCTGCAGAGGCTCCACGGCTGCTTTTACGGGGTCTTCCTCCTGTGGCTGCTGTGGGTTCGGCTGCGGCTGAGGCTTTGGCGGCTGAGGCTCTGCCGGCTGCGCCTGGATGTCAAGCGCCTTGAGAGCCCTCGTGTGGCGCCAGAACAGCCAAGCGCTCACAGCGCCGGCGGAGACGCCCGCCACCAACACCGGAGTCCAAGACCGGGACATTGCAGCAAAAAGGGTGGGCTGTCACGTCTATCGTCAGTATAGTGAGTAGAGACGTACATTATCCGTGCTGAGTGGATGACATGTCACGAGCCTCTCTCTAGCAGATGTCGGATCCGAGCCAGAAGATCGATGATTCACGTTCAACACACCGTCGAGCATGAAGTCGGAATTGGAAAGGACTGTTGTACTCGTGGCGACCCCGGTGTAGGATTTGCGCATCGCAGTGCTCTCAGGCAAGCACCGGTCCTCATCGGAGGCTGATGCCTGACGCTGGGACCCGGAGGTGGTTTTTGTCTCGCAGCTGTGGAGAAGTCCAAAGGGTGGCCTCAGGCGGGTCGCCGAAGAAGCCCGGAGTCACCCGGGGCAGCACCAGCCTCTGGCAACACAGCGGAGACGGAGTGAACAAGCCTGAACCGAGAGCTTTGTTCCCTCTCTTTGCCCCAAGATGTCGAGGCAAATAAGTTTTTGAAGTGTCCTTACTTTTTGGGGACTGGGCGATGTCGGGGCCGATAACAAAAGCTGGGTCCCAAGCAGGAAACTCCTGTGTAGGTGGCTATCTAGAGCAGGTAGATGAAGGGGTTAGGGGTGTTGGATGACGCCTCGCGGCGTTTCGCCCTTCAGAACTCCTGCGTTTGAACAAGCCGTGTCTTCAATCAAGCAAGAACGGACCCTCAGTTTGGCGGTCTTGCTCACGGTACTAATATGTACTAATCCAGACACATGCAGACTTCAGCCGATTTTCCAAGACGCGGACGGGCCGCCACGGTCAGAGTACGAAGATGCCTTAAGAGCAAGGGGCTGTGGAGCAATGCACCTTTCGAACTACTGTTCTCTCAGAATTGCGGTACGCACATCTGGGAAAAATACCGGGCGCAGTCTTGGCAGGACCGGCGCAAACGCAGCGGCAAAGGCCATCGTCCACCATGTTCATTCTGCTTTGGAATCTTGCACAAGATTGAGTTCAACCTTGATTGGTGGGGTCTGCGGCCTGGCCTGGGAAGTACAGCTCAGATTTGTTGTCAGGACACAGCATATGTGGCGGCAAGATGGGAGCGGTGGGACTGAACCGCAAGGAGGTCACCCGGAGTCGCACATGCAGCACATGATATCACGTGATACTCCACTTGCAGCTACAGTAACATGCAGCCAGTCCAGTGCCCATCTTCTTTCGTGCGAGCTCCGCGCGTCGTTTGAAGCAGCGACGGACACTTTGAGTTCCACCAAGCTGTGATCCAGCTGATGCACTGTCTGTTCCACGACAATGTCTGGCTGTGGTTGAAGGCTTCATCAGTGTCAGGTTATCTGCGAGGTTCAATCGGCCTACACGGGTCTACACATCGAAGACGGAATTCAAAGACTGCGCGAACTTCAGCGCGGAACCATCCTTGGCAGGAGGTGCGGGTTCAACGGCTGAACAAGTCCACTTGCATGAGATTGGGCTGCATCCGTTGCTGAGATCTGCGCTTCTCCCACGAACATCATGCTATGACGACCGACGGCGATGAGCTGCAAGGGCGATCAAGCGGATTTTCAGCAGCAAAGCTGTGGGGCTCAGATCTGTTCTGCGACGAATCTCTTACCCTCTCCTCTCCAGGTGAGCAATCCGGCCTTTCCAGAGGTAATGTCTGTCACTTCCGCCTCCGCCACGCCCAGCACGCCACCAATCTGCAAGACGTCAAGCTGCGGTAACATCTTCAATTTCATAGCGGCTCATGGCGGTTCTCAGAGCGTTAGTGGGAGATCACTAGGGCCAGACTAGTCTCCTGCACGCCAGGCCCACCTTCAGTATCTTAGTGTCGATCTGCAGGGTACGGCCAACTTTTCCCACCCCGACCTCAAAATTCGCCGACTCTTTGCTTCACTCATTTTCTCTTCCCTCCTAAACCTCAGCCATGTGGCGTATGTCAAGTTCATGTCGGTCGTGACTGCCTGGAGGGATTCATGGAAGTGCAGCTCTCGCTTAAGTCGGGAAGGTGCAGCCCTGCCAGACATTACTAACCAGAGGGCCACGAATTAAGCCCGAACAACATCTTCTGCACAGCTGCATGGCTTGTCTACTGGCTCTGCTGGAGGCTAAGAGCACAGGCAAGCACGAGCTTGCCTTCCGGCTTCGCACGTCATTTGCACAGATGTGCATAGTAGTCGCCTTGCTGCGAACTCACCGCAAGAATGTGATTTCGGTTCGCCAACGTGTGCTTCAGCGCCGGGACAGCCGCATCCTCAACGACTGTAGCGATGACCCCTGCAGCTGCCATCGCTGTTGGAAGCAAACTTTCTTTGTAGCAGAGAAGCCCACCTCCATGAACAGTTTGCCCCTCCTGGACGACATGACTGGTCTTCAAAACAGCGTCGAATTGAGACAAACATTGAACTTGGCTCCTGGGCCATGGCGAAGGCATGACAATCGCTTTGGTGGAGCGGAAACTTGGCGCCGTCAGGATCATGCTAATTTTCATGAATCTCAAAAACCAGTGCACTGAGCATGCTGCCGAACTCAGCGGTGCTCAAGCTGCACACAGCTTACGCCCTCCAAGAAGGTTTAGGCTCCCGGGCTTGAAAGCTACTCCTCTTCAGGTTCTCGCTGGACTGCAGGAACTGCAGTCCTCAGCAGTTCTGCAGTGCTACAAGCTCTACTCATGCGCGGCTCCGGCGATCTTTCTTAGCTCACCGCGCTTGCTGATCACTGAAGAGAAGCTGTTCTGAGCCTGGGAAGCTTCCAGCGCTCACGCCATGCCACCAGGGTACGATGCCCGAGGGCTCAGCCCGAGTTTGCTGCACGTACTGGTGGAACAGCTCGCCCAATCGACATCTGACCTTGAGCCGCCATTCGCGCTTTCCTCCTTGCCCCCTATCCAGCCTGCCTAACTCTCTAAGCGCTGCGCCGCCATGAAATCTAAAGCTCTTTGAGCAGCACTGATTCGCCGAAGCTCGATGCTACGATCACGTCTACTTTATCATGTCGAGCCATGTGCCTTGCGGGCAGCTGACTACTTCGTGGTGCGAGCATGCAGCTTGCGATCTACAGAGCAAAGAGGATGAAACGACATGCGCCAGTACTGCTCAACGGCAATTTGTTCCGCATGGGCGCACAAAACTCAACAACCAAGTACCGCGGTAGATATGAAAAAAATCTATCCTTTGACGCTTGTCTGTGCTTCTTTACGTTCAGCACCGCCTGTCACCAACACTTTACGTAGCCAACTGTAGTCACTGGCTGTCACTTTGGATGAGCTCGCGGCCCTTCATAGTTCTCCCTCTGTCGTGCGGTGCTATCACTATGAAACATAATGCTGCCGGAGCCTCCATGCTCCACAGCGTCTCTTCAATCACTCAGAATCAAAGCTTGCTGCCCGACCTTCAACCGTGAACGACACAAGGCGACGTGTCTCCGGTGATCAAGACAGTGCCTCATCAGGCAACCTTCTCGGTCTCCTCCCAACAGTGCTACGACACAAGCTTTGCAAAGGTTTGAGCCTCCGCGCCTCTTCCCACAAAACGATCTTGGGATCTCGCCTGAAATGCGCAAGCCAATCTTGCTGTCAAAGGCGTGCGAGCCAAATCAAGCTCCGGACTTGCAGAAGGTGCGAACTGCCAAGGCTAGATTGTCCGTGTCCTGGACTGGAGGCCAGGGTACGTGACAGATGCAAAAGTGCAAAAGCCGCAAAAGCCAAAGGACCGGCTCCCGGACTCTTTCGCTTCCTGGACCCTCTGTACATGCCGGTCTTCCTTCGGAACCCGGTCACGGCAAAACGGACATCGGCTGGCCCGTCCAACAACAGGCACGAGCCTTGCAGCTCCGTAGCTGCAGGAAACCCGTACTTTGCGAACTAAAACGGATATGTGTGGATTGTGTCTAGCTCGGGCAAGACAGGACACGTTGGGCCCTAGACGAGGGGGCTCAGACTGCCTGCGGCAGGATCGAACCAAAGCTCGAGCTCCTGGGCATATCCGACTAGCAGCGAGACCCTGCACATCCAAAAACGCATGAAAGGCCATGAAAGGCTGAAGTGCTCAAGCGCCAAGGCCGCCAAGGATCGGATCCGGGTGGAAAGCCGGCAGGGACCGTGAAGTTCAGCTGTCTTCCATCAGGGACTGTGACTGCTAGGACCTGGAGAAAAGGCGGAAACTCGCGCTCGACTCACTGCCGAAAGCGGACCCCGACCTGTCCAGCCACCACACCGTCTGGCACGAGGATCTTCAATGCCTCGGCTGCAGATGCGTGACCTTCGCATCCCGGTGTTCCTCCCCCGGTGTTCTTTGCTTGGCCGCGCCTGTCCCTCTGGTGCAGGCGGCGCCGACACTGCAGGACTCTCCTGACAAGTGGATCAAAGCAGCTGAGACATGGAAGGGCAAACCAGCGTTGTAGTGCCGTAAGTCTCAAGAAGTGCGGCCAAAGGCTCTGCTACCATTCCGGGTGCGAGCGTGTGTATCCTCGGACGAAGAATCAGGAGATCGACGTTTCTCAATGGTCCGATTGCAAAGAAGGCACTGTCCAACCTCCAGAAAGTCCCGCAGCTCCAAGCACCAGGCACCTTCACGAAAACAGCACGACATCATGCGAGCTGCTCGAAAAACTCCTCTGCCGGCCTCGGCCGTTGGGATGGTTCAGGGCGCCCTTGAGCCATTGCTCCAGGCCGTGCCGTCGCTCTTCCAGTTTGGCACCCTGCGGAGCAAGGTTGATCTGTGCACATTTACCGCACTGGCTTGACCAGTCTGCTAGCAACGGGGTGGCCACGGCAGGAGCTGCCACTTCAGTGCTGCACATGCTTCCCAAGTGTTCGCGCACACGTAATCAACAGTCTGTGAAATTATCGCAGCAATCCTTCCACGCTACAACTCCAAGGTCTGAGTGCTAATGTTGCAAAACTTGGCAACAGCATCTCGGCCATATCAGTTCCATGATCGAAGTACATGTTGCCGCTACCTCGCAGCTGAACAGATGTTTCGGGGGGAAGCCACGATCAATCGTCGATGCCGGCGCAATCCTCACCCAAGCAAAGATGTCCGCAAAATCAACACAGCAGTTGTCGATGCTTCGGAAAACGACGCTCCGCTTCGAGTCTACGGAACTGTTCCGGAGAATGTCCTTGCCAGTCTATCCTTCAAGGCATCGAACTCATTGTACCTCTTTTGAAGACGGTAGGTGGCACCAGTCTCCGGCATGACCTCGACTCCGAAGTATGTCACCTGAGCTGCAGACCCCACGCAGAAAGCCTTCCACTTCCAGAATGCTGCTCCGTCACCCCGCTCTTCTGCTCGATGCCCGCCGCCGGGATGCCGATGGCTGACACTGCCAAGGGAGGCATCGGGGCCACCGTGACGGGAGGCCCCTTCCACTTGCCCTTCCCTTTGCCCTCAGCGGGCAGCGCAGCAGCAAAGGAGAGAACGGAACGGAACGCCCGCCGCCAGGCCCGGCCTTCGGGCCAGGGGGCGAGGTCGCTGCTGCACCGACGGCCGCGCCTTCCACTTTGGGCACCGTGTCCACGCACCCGGTTTAGGTTTCTCCCCATGCTCTCGCCTACGAGTGCACCGGGAGGTCCACAGGCAGCGGCACCTACTGCACCGCCGGCAAGGACGCCAACCTGAGCACAGAGGAGGCAGCCGCTGCGTAGCAGCAGCAACCCCGGCATCTGAGGATGCTGCAACGGGTGCCACAGGCGCGGGCCTGGGTGGGGCTTCCACCAACACGGCCCCAGACGGCACAGCATTAGGAACCACAACCTTGGAATTGTGAAGGTTGCGACTGTGGCACAGGCAGAACGATCAGCTATCCAATGTGCTTTCAAGCAGCCACTTCTGTGCGAGGGGGCGGCTTTCGCGAGCCAGCAACAGCGGTTGCGACGGCAGCTCCAGCAACTGCCTCATAGTGAATGAAAAATTGAGGTGTGGTGCCGTTCACGGTAACAGGAGGGTGCTGCAACTGTGCAGGAAAGACTCGGCTCCTCCGATCAAAGCAACCTCTGCCACTGCACCACCGATACCGTGATGATGATGGGGATGGTGATGGTGGTGCCAGTACCCCTTCCTCGAATCAGTGGCTCGGATGCATGCCGAGAGTGTAGAACCTCTCTCATTCTCATCCTTTCTGCAACCTGGATCACATCTAGTCAAACCACTTCAACAGACAGCTAGGCTGAGGCCCAGCACAGGACTTCGGCAGTTTCGGCATTACCCTCCCGCTCTTGCTCCCGCACCAACACTCTTACTGTGTGGCTCTTGCAGCCTGAGCGCCCCTTTCCGCCCCACCCCATGGCTACAGGCTCTTACAGGGCAACGGCAAGAGCTTCGATACTGGAAATGGCCGCGACCAGCATCTGATGTTTGTGACTCACCCGAAGTGGAGCCCAAGCAGAGACAGCAACTGCTTCACACATGAAGAGGGCGCCCGAATGCCAAAGAAGCGGTCCTCCATCATGCGTCCATGGCAGCCTGCCCGAACAGCAGGAGGCACCTGCCACCAGGTTGACAAAACAAGTCGAGCCTGCGCATTAACAACGACAGGCAGCTAGCCTTGGACGCATCCCCGTAGACAGACTGCTTCAAGTCCTGCGGCGAGCTGCGGCCAACGTGAGCCACGACCCCGCCGAATTCTCTGAACCCCGAACCTGCACTGTTGCCATTGCAGGAAAGTAGAAGACCTGTGCGTTGAAAGGTTGCGAACGTGTGCAGCTTCGCGCAGATTCGAAAGCTCTGGTCCACACGGAGCCATTTGTCCAGGATGTGAAGAAAAGGTTCTGCTTCTTATCAGGTTCCACCTCTGCAGTGGCTGAGTGGAGCGGCGAAGCACTCTTCGTGCATTTCTGCTGCCTCCTTGTCTGCGATGAAGACATTGTACCTCAGAAGACCCGAAATCGTGTTGGGTCCTCTGGACCTTGAAGCTTTCAACACACCCGGGCGCACTTGTACTGCGTCTCGGCACGCCATCGGACCCAGAAAAGTGCTCCAGGGTAGAGGAACACGACGGTGTACTTCACGTTGGACCTGAAAGCGGCTTCGTCGAGAGGACCGTCACGGCGGCTTGCAGGCTCCGGACTGTGAGTTCCAGAATGTCTCGTAGAGACGGCCCATTCGGAACCTGACCAAATAAGCAATGGCAGATATTTGGGTCAGCACAACTTCTCTGAGCACTCTGCTTGAGACCCTCTTTGAGGAATGTCCAGGCCTTAAAGACAAAAGACTGCCCTTCCTCCGTCTCCCCGCTGATGCAAGGCCATCCAAGACCCCAGCCCATCGTTTTGGCAGCGCTGCCATACCTCGGAGTGCCGCAAATCTACACGGAAAAGAGAGCATGCTTGTGCATGCTCGTGCAGCTGCAGACATATGATCCGAACATGTCCATATGCATGGATGGATGGATGGACAGACGGACGACTGACAGAAGCACAGTGACATGGCTATAGGACAGAACATGCAGGGCTGACAGTCATGGCAGGGGTCATGATTAGGCACACATGCCAAGCGCTTCTTGAGTTTATTGTGCAAATACTGCCTCAAGTATACATAGATTCCGGCATAGATAGAGAAACAAAGGTGCATAGTCAGTGTATAGTTGTCTTCCTGCAGGCTGTACCTGTACGCAGCAGGCAGAAAGGGACACATGAGGGTGTAGAGGCATAGAGGCTTAGAGGCTCAGGGACATGCGCAAGCACGAAGTGCAAGTAAAAAGTTGCCTATCCACAGGGACACAGATCTGTGAGCTCTGCGTGCGTACAAACGCATTGAATTCCATTATGCTGGGAACTGAACACCAGCCTATAGAGAGAGGCATGCAGATGCAGCAAAACACGTAAGGCGCTGAGGTATGCACTTCTTCAGAGCCCCAAGCAGGAAGGCAGTGCAGGGGGTTTGGGGTTTCCCTGGTTGAGCCGGAGTTCAGAATGCATGCAACATGTCGCGTTCTGCATGCAGGGCCACTCTCGACTGAATCGGGCACGGCCAGAGGCGCATTTCTACAAGCAAGCCTCTGAAAATTGCTGGCAAATCGTCCCGGGCCATTAGTCAGTGTGGACAGCTTGAAAACGTGATGGGCATCATGGACTCAGCCGCGTTGGATCACGGGTGAACATGGCTGCTTTGCGGATGTTGTCCAGGCCCAAATACCTTCAGCTGCAGCGTGCAAGGCTCACGGCCAGGAGAAACGGAATCCTGCTACAATCCAAGACGATCTTGATCAGACCAGCCCAGCACTCCGGTACCAAGGTCTGCACAATTGCACGATACGCTCGAGTCCAAGCCCAACACCACCATGAGGAGAGACCTCCGGTGTCATCATGTCACCGGAAGGCAGTATTAGATCATCAAGGTCATCTGAGTCTCCCGACCGCGTGTCGGAAGGAGTCAATGTAGCCCCTGCATCTGAAGCTGTGTTTGAGACTTTTCTCTCTGGTCTCTGCAACGGCACTCCGCTTCCGAAGATCCCTATATCGCTCTCAGTTGTCACCACACGCTAGCATGCAATCGTCCATCCGTGTTCTTTGGCACTCTAGCGATTGCTGAGATGTGAAGACTGTAGTATTCACGCCCTTGTGGATGACCGGGAGATACCGGGAGGCCCGGCTGCAGCGGCTCCGTGGGCACGCCAAGCTCCGAACATCTCGCCTAAGTCAGCTGGAAGGTCTCCGCAGAGTCGGATGACTCCCACCCCTTTCGCTGCCTCCAGAAGCTCCGGGTCATGGCACCTCTGTGCGCCGCTGCCGATCTCCTCCAACTCATCCCGAAATTAGTACGGACTCCTACTTTCAGTTTCTCTCATCATCCCCCACGGTCTCAGCTATTAAGCGGCCACTGGCAGCCTGACCACGAAAGATGACGTCATAAGAGTTGGAGTATTCGGGCCTGCCAAGTGGCAAGGGCGCACACGACAAACCTCAAAGCCAGCAAAACAAAGCGGATTTGCAGCCGAAGGAAACATGTCTGGAGCTCTGGTCCTTTGATGGCATGGTGTAGAATGGCCTCACGGGTCTTAAGGGTCTCGTCAGTCACTTTGCAATGTTGAAGCGATTCACCTGGCCTGACAGCAGAGGGGTAGCTGTCCAGGAAGAACAAGTCCGAGCCTCACGAGGAGCTCAAGCACGAACCAGAAGCACGCACTGTGGAAGGACACGACGTAAGGTCCCAGCCATACTTCTCAAGAACCAAACTTCCCAGCAGTCTCTCCTCCTCTGTGCTAAGGTCAGCCATCATGTCCTGCAGACATTGCGCATGCTTCTACGCGAACTAAACTGTCCAACCTTTAGACACACGGCAAACGCACGATTCGACGCGCCACTCTTCCTTGCTTGCTCTGCAGCACAAACTTAATTTTAATCGCATGTGCTGGTCCACACATTGAGCAAGAATTTTGCGTGTATGGCGTGCGTAACCACGGAACCTGCACACGAATCCACATACAGATTCGAACCCTGGCACGCAGCTTGAAAACGAAGGGATGTCCAGCTGCACCTGCGCCATGACAGATCGAAAGGTACATCTTCTAGCACGCCTAACCACGGACCCTGCACCGGCGACAGCACAGATCCGAACTAGTGCTTGCTCTGACATTGTGCTGGGGATGTCCCTCATCGTAGTACCGCATCGAGGCTTGAGAATCTGTGCACCGTGCGGGTCGCAAGCGAAAGGTACATCTTCTAGCACGCCTAACCACGGACCCTGCACCCGCGACAGCACAGATCCGAACTAGTGCGTGCTCTGACATTGTGCTGGGAATGTCCCTCATCGTAGTACCGCATCGAGGCTTGAGAATCTGTGCACCGCGCGGGTCGCAAGCGAAAGGTACATCTTCTAGCACGCTTAACCACGGACCCTGCACCAGAGACAGCACAGATCCGAACTAGTGCGTGCTCTGACATTGTGCTGGGAATGTCCCTCATCGTAGTACCGCATCGAGGCTTGAGAATCTGTGCACCGCGCGGGTCGCAAGCGAAAGGCACATCTTCTAGCACGCCTAACCACGGACCCTGCACCAGCGACAGCACAGATCCGAACTAGTGCGTGCTCTGACAATGTGCTGGGGATGTCCCTCATCGTAGTACCGCATAGGAGCTTGAGAATCTGTGCACCGCGCGGGTCGCAAACGAAAGGCACGTCTTCTAGCACGCCTAACCACGGACCCTGCACCGGCGACAGCACAGATCCGAACTAGTGCGTGCTCTGACATTGTGCTGGGGATGTCCCTCATCGTAGTACCGCATCGAGGCTTGAGAATCTGTGCACCGCGCGGGTCGCAAGCGAAAGGTACATCTTCTAGCACGCCTAACCACGGACCCTGCGCCAGCGACAGCACAGATCCGAACTAGTGCGTGCCCAGGACACAGCCTGTGCAAGAATTCCAGCCGCTTAAGATCTACAACATCTAGCTTTCACTTGTGCACCTAGAGCTAGTCACCGAGAACGACAAGTTCATGGCAGGCTACCTCAATGCCTCGACTATTGCACAAACAGCACGCGAAGCTGCCAAGTCCTGCGCGAGAACCATGTACTACCGTGTGAAGCGCAAGCGACCCGTGGATTCGCTTTCGCTGAAATGTGCAAGGATGTGCAAGGGAAGCGGGTCCGTTCTCCCAGGTGATCCACTCGAGGCAGCTGCTTCTTGGAGCATCTCCATGGCTTCGCCCCAGTGCCTCGGCTGGCGCTTCTCACACTGAGGGCCGGGCCCCTCACCTGGGTGCGGCGCAGGATGCAGGGCGGCCCAGCTGGAGATGGCATCTTGGGGGCCTCAGGACTGGGGGGGATCCCAAGTCGCAGACTGCGAAGGTCTCCGGATCCCACCTCTGATGGGTACATGTGCCTCACCACTTTCAACTCCTCAGCGCACTCCTGCACACAATGGGCGAAACGGCCAAGAACCCAGAGGAGAGACCACAAAACTCCCGCTCATCTCTGCCTCCTCCAAGGCCTGGAAAGCACCAGACAAGGTCTCGTGAATGACCTCGCAATTCGCGCCAGCAAGAGAGACCGGACTGGTGACTGCTCACCTGACTCGCTTCACTTGGCCTGAATCACTTCGTTGTAGTGCCACATGATTGGCATCTCGAAGTCCAGGCCTCTGGCAACGCTATCGCTGCCAAAGGCACCCTTGACACTTCTCGAGGCCCATGCCGGTGAATTCGCACAGGTGCCGAGGGGTGTTGGAGTTCTCCGCACGGAACACGGGACCAATCTGCGAGCTGCGGGTTGTCTCAACCTCTCGCTGATCTACTGACAAATGCCTCAAACGCACCGGGCATGTCTGCTGAGATGGCCATCTGCTTGTAGAGCTGTGGCGACCTACCAGATGCGGATGGAAGTCTCAGTCTGACTCCTTCCGGTCTTTGAGGACCGGGCTGTGCCAGCGACGCCTTGGACCCGAAATAATCCACGCGGAAAACCTTCAAGAAGCTGTGAAGTATGGCTCAGATGCTTCTGCGATGTTCTCATCGCTCACCTCTGCACCCCCCTCGCTCTCCCCAGCAATGAGCTTCGGGGAGTGGATCCTGAGCTACATTCATCAACTATAAAGCTATCTCTAGCAGCCGGTGCTTGCATAGTGCCGAGGCTGTGGCTCCACGAAGCCGCGCTTCGTCAGACTGTCGCGGAAGAGGCGACAGATCGCAGACTGGCACCGATCCGAAGCATTGGCATCGCCGCACATCACACGAAATCACCCGAGCACACGCCTGAATGCGAAGAGTGGCGTTGTGCGCTGGCACCTAAGGCAAGGGCCCACCAAAGCTCCGAGGGCCCAGCCTTTCCGAGTTTTCCTCCGAGGCTGCGGCGCGGAGGTCCAGCCAACGGTGATCGAGGCGAAGGTCCGGCAGCACGCGGACCTGCACTCCGCAACACCCCACAGCTCCTACGTTCGTTGTCGCATTCAATGGCGCGTTTTGCCGCTCACTTTGAGGCTGAGGGTTTGTCACCCTGCGGGCTGTGGCTCTGCCCCCCATTCAATTCTCCTTTCTGTGCGGGAGCTTCCCCAGCTTTCCAACGTGTTTGCCAGTTCCACTCTCCTCTTTAAATGCCCTAGTGGAAAAAGACAAGCACAACAAATGGAACAGCCCAGCCAAGGCTCCGACGAAGGGCCGCTTGCTGCCCTGCGATGCCTCGATCTCCGCCTGATTGAAACAAGGAAGCTGAACCAAACCGGACAGCAACACATTCCGCGATGGCTGGGAGACCTCGCTGCGCTGTGCATCTGCGATCAGAAAGGGTAGCTGCCTTCATCGATTCATATAGCAAGAGATCCACTTCCCCTGAACCCAATGATGAGGCCAGGGCGGCGCCGCTTGGCTGACACAGAAAACCTGCTTGATCTGGAGCTCCACATTGCTTTGAGTGCAGCTCGAGACATTGGCCTGCCACGAAACAGCTCAGTACACAGCGTTGCCTGGAGGCATCGCCGCCGTCCAGAAAGGGAAGCTCGGTGCAAAGTTTAACGGCCTCAGCAATGACTCCACGAAGGTCGACGAGGCTTTCCTGCACTGGCACAGCAAGCTTGGTCGAGAGTGCCAAAACTGCCTGCGGCTGTTGCATGTTGTGTGGTCACTTCGGGTCCAGCGGCAGGGACTTGAAGAACTTTGCCACAGCTGTGGCACTTTCGCCTCCATCCTCCGCGTCCTTGAACTTACAGGCCTGAACTGTGTGAAGGCTGCTTTGTCTCAGAACCACAAACGTCGACTTCCCCTTCACGCGGACTGTCGCCACGCGAGCGCGCACCCAAACTTCTTCGCCGATCTCAGGCCCGCTGGGCGTACCCAAAGACTTCACTGCGGAAAAAGTCATCGGCGGAACATTGGTCGGAGAGCGAATGGTCTCGTAGAAGCCGACCACTGGAGCATCGGAGGCGGACACCTCTTCCAGCCGCACAGGCTCCGTAACCGCAGTAACCGCCTGTGTTGCAGGGCGCAGGGTGGATGCTTGGCGCCGGTTGCGGCAAAACGCAGCCAAACAAGCTGCAGTCAGCACGCAGGGAGCTGGCTCAGGCGTCCTTGAAGTGTAGTTGTGGTAGCTGTTGGATGGCGGTCTGCTCTGGCAGGAGACTGCCAATGCTGACCTGCGCCCAGTGGGCAGTCGTGGCGCCGCTGATGGAAACTGACCATTCAATCGTCGCATCATTTGGAGCTCTAGTACAAGAAGACTGCCTGGGTTGTGGAACAGGTCTTCAAACGGGCAGTAGCAGCTGGCTTTTACTGAGGGGTGGGTCAAGGCTCGCTGGATATCTTGCATGGGTCTGTTTGCTTCACTTGGGGCTGCTGGCTGCTCTATTGCAACGCAACTTGGACGTTTTGGGCTCTGGGTCTTTAATTTTGGCACACTGCAGAATTAGCGGCACAAGCTTCACGGAACCAGGACACAAGTGCAGCAGATTGCAACTGCCTAAAGCTGCAGACAAGCACTTTCACGCGTTGTCATGGCTTGACTGGACCGCGCCCAAGCCAGGGTGAAACGGCCTGTGAGGCCTCGGGCAACGGCTCTAAGACGCAAGCTGATATTTGGCTTAACCTGCTGTTCTTCTTTTTTGGGGGGCCATTCGATAGCCTTTGCCAGCAGACCGGGACCGGGCTGGCCATCCGATCCGGCAGAGTGCTTTTGAATGCTTCTGAATTAGGCCATGTCTGCCGAGCATCTAAACTCTAACTTAGGTCAACGACTGCCAGTCCAATGAAAGGGTTGGGCTCAGCAGTCACGGCACAGAAAAAACTAGAATAACTGCTCTGAATTATGTAGTTGATCTCATTTGAGCGAAACTGCGAAGCAGTCTGCGAAGCAGTAGTGGGCATGGCGGGCCTCAGACAGCCTTTGGCCCTGCCCATGGGCTCGAAAGTTCAGCGTTGATAAGGAAGAGCTCGTGGAGCTCTTCGCCTGGAGGACACCCATAATGCTCGATTTCCCTCCTCAGGGCCCCTGGCCGGGGACTTCGGGCTGAGCAGCGCACTCAACGATAACGGCTTGCATTCAATTGTCGGATCCTGTCCTCGAGCTGTGAGGATGACAAAACTCTTCTTTAAGCAGATCTTTTAGGGTTTCGGCTTGGGGGTTAAGACGTCCTGTACAGAGATTGGCCGCGATGGAGGTGAGTGCGTCATCGGGTGCCCTGTCACTCCTGTGAACGGGTGAAGGCGCAGTCGCCCACAGGCAAACCCCCGGTACAGTTTCAACGGAACCGGCCAGTCCTCCACGAGTGATTGTGTAAGGTTGACCTTGGAAAGCGTCTTCTGACCACGCTTCTGTAGTGCCGGTTGCAGGAGATTGCAGGCATTTGCAGGCGCCGGGCGCTTGATCGGAGACATGCCAAAGTTTCGAGATGGGTCCTGGCAACTCATGTCCGACCCATCCCTTCTGACTCAAAAGAACCTACTGCTCTGCCTCCATGTGCGTCACATTCGGAGAAGCGTTTGGTGTCCTGCACGTTGCGGCAGGGCTCCAGCCGGCTTGAATCGGAGATCGGTGACGCGGGAAGGGACAAACATGGCGGCAGGACTCGGGCTCCGGTTCCACCTCTTCCCAGCTACCGTGTGTCTGGAAAAGGAAGAGGTGACGTTAAAGCACAAAGATCTCGCCTGGAAGGCCGAGCGTGAGGAGCTCTGCGTGACCGTTCGCATGGTCCGAGCCACCTCGACACATTTCGTGCGAGAGGGGAGGAGAGTGAAGGAGAGAGCCGAAGCCGGGACGTGGACGGGTTGACCCTCGCGTGAACCGGCTCGAACCGCTGATGTCATGGAGACATGTCCGGTCGCTAGAATCTCAGTTGCAAAGGTCGCATCAGCTAAGCCGGAGTAACTGTGACTGAGGAGCCGAGGAGGCAGCAGGGACTGAGGCCATGGGCCGTCGAACTGTACAACATGAGGAAACACTTGGTGCCTCGGCGACAAAGGAGCAAGGACGACCACAGACAATGACCTTTTCGGGCAGCTACAGCTGTAGATTCGATCTCAGAGATCTCTCCGCACGTCTTGATGATACTTGTGGCGTCCTTCTGAACATGGGCCGACTTGCGAATCGAACCCGTGTAGTATTCAAGGTTCCATAGGATCTTTCCAGATGTTGGATGCTTGGCGCAGCCGGTATCCCCTGCTACTGAGTGCCTGGCCGCAGCCGGGAAAACCAGCTGCCGATTGATGGGCGCTGCTTCCCTGGGTCCAAGACGGCTTGGCAGAGGCTCTTGTAAATGATATGAGCTCGCCTGGTGGTAGGAGCACCCTGGCTGGTGCTCCTCTTCTCGATCTCAGAGACCAGCTTGCGAACCGGCGGAGCCTGGGACTCTCTCGACTCAGGTCCAATTCGCTTGTCTCTCAGGAAAGCCAAGTCTGAATCTGACATTGCCAAGGCGCATGTGAAACTGAGTCCAATGTCACATCGCGCTGACTCGGGATGCGCTGCCGAAGGTGAGGCCTTCAGAGCCGGGGGACTGGAAATCCCGAAAAGGTCGACTCTCCGTCGCTGGGCTCCAGACGATGACGGAGCGTGCACGGTTGGCCCTGTCGGAGGCCTTCAGGATGCACGCGGCAGAGCATACAATTTCACCCGCAAGGTCACGTGATGGAGACGCAGACAGGCTAAGCGACTGACATCCAAGAGGCGTGACGGGGAGAACTCAGAGGCATCACAACAGGAAAACAATTGTGTCAAACTGCTCCAACGCTTGTCTCACCTCGCCCTGATCTCTAAGCTCCTCACGCGTGTCTGGCTCCGAGCCCGGCCCCGGCCGGCTGCCTGGCGCCGTCGCTCTGCGCAAGGCGAGGAGACCGCACACTCGGCGGCCCTGCGCCTGGCCGACAACGGAGAGGCGGAGACCTCCGGGGTGACAGGCAGGCGCGCATGGCATGCCATGGCGAAAGACCAAAAGCGACCGAAAGCCAAAGCACAGCTGCCTGGCCAAGCCCAACCGATGTCATGGAAGAGGTTGGCGCCATGCTGGAGCAAGGGGCGGGCGGTGCCTTGCCAGGTGCGCCAACGCCAGCACGTGGTTGCACAGCATTTAGGGACTGGGGCCTGCAAGCTCCCTGAGAGCACACCTGAAACCTCAGGGTAGGGTCGCCACAGACACAAGGAAAGGAGCAAGCAAGCAACTGTTTGTCAAGCAAAGCTGCTATGCGGACCTAGGGCGGAGACGGTGTGAGGAACAGACGGCGTACGGTGTCCACTGTCTCCAGCATATGTGCGGGAGATGCCTGCGATTGAGCATGGGCCGGGTTTCGAGCATCTCGGAAGGTTTTCCCAACCAAACTAAACGTCACGAGACATTTGGGCTCTGCGCCTGTGGTGCTACCGCCGATGGGGTCCTCCCTGCTTGCAGCGTCCTCAAGAGACGTGCGGTTACAGACCTCAAGGCCCCTCCGCTCTTTCTCAGCCAAGATGTGCACTGTTTGCCGTGTCTTAAGATGATCGACCTGCCACTGCTCGAAAACAGCTCCACTCCAGCACCACAAGACACTCCGATGCCTCCACTTTAAGCTTTCTGCAGTGCTCCTGAAAGCCACAACAGAACAGAAGGCGGCTGGAAAGTAGTTCAGGGCTTCAACCTTGACCTACTCTCCAAACGCGACCCGAACTTGATTTACAAGAGCTCTCCTCGAGCTCCTTGAGCTTGCCCTGAACGGGGCCATCGCGTCACACTCGCCGATTGCTGTTTTTGTGTTCATACAATGCGTGCTGCCGTTTGTCCCTGCCTTCAAGCTGTTGGCGCTTCCTTTCTCCGACCGGAGATCTGCCTGCCATGCTCTCAGGTTACCAGAAGCCTGGAAGTGCGAGTGTGATCGTCGGCAACACTGCGTGTGGTTGCTTGGCTGCGGTGGCTGACCACGGCGGCTTGCTGTATGTGTTAACGTTTGGCCGCAGGGTCAGGATCACACAGTTGGTTTGGACTTGGAATCAGCTCCAGACGTCTCTCGCTGTTCGGTCAGGCGGTCATCGAATGAAAACACTTGTGAAGAGGCCTCCAAGATTTTGTTGAGCTCTTTCTGTGACCGAAGCTCCTCCTCCATTCAAGCAGACATGCACGGATGGCCACGTGGATATCTGCGACGCCCCATACTAAATTAAATTAAACCCTTCATGGAATCGAAAGTCTCCTCCTTCCGCCTGGCCTCCTCTTGGGCCGACTGGACCTGCCGAGGATGGCAGCAGGTCACACCAAGTAGCGGCGCCTGTCAAAGCACAGAAATCTTGGAGCCTTGGAATGTTGGAGCTCCTCGTATCTCTTGATCATACTCCGCCGTTCGTGCTCCCAGTCATTTTTCTCTTTCTGCAGCCCCTGGCACGGATGATGCGATCCCTCAGCATCTCGATGGGCTAGCAGCTACAAGAGAAGCCGCTTGGCCTTGACCACATCCTCCAAACGTCGACGCTCGGATTCCGCCTGGCTGTCATGGCACGACGCGTTGGGACAAAAAAATTAGCTGCAGATGCAGACAGATGCAGACACACAGCTGATTTTGTCTTGGCATCGTGCCAAAGCGACCTACCGGCCAGCTGATGTTACTTCTGTTGCACGTTGGCACAAGCATGGACGATGTCCACAAGCAGGTCTTGCTTCCACCGCACTGATCTTCTCCATCGGGCGCCTGAACCTGTACTGACTGAGACTCGGCGCCAAGTCCTGGCCAGATCTGTACTCGGCTCGGAGCTCGTTCAGAAGGGAGCAGGCGGTGCTAAGCTGTGAGTCGAGGTTCGCATCGAGGCTACAGGATGAAGGCGGGAGCCCTGCTCCGGTTTCCGTGCCGAAATCGCAGGCCGAGCTTGCTGCTTGTGGCCTCGAGCCTGGGCTCCACAGAGACGAGATGACAACCACGAAGTCTCACACCTTCTCCCAAAGAAAATGACATGCATTCTATGATATTCTGTGTCATTTCATTCCGGGCAGCAGTTGTGGAAATTGCCGAAGTAAGGCGGACTTGGCCCGGTCTGCCTCCTCTGCGAAGGCCTTGGCCGAGAGACTGGCGGAGATGCCGCCCTTTTCTTCATGGAAGATGCCCGGCGCATGCCTGACAGCTCATGCGGTCCTTGCATACTGCCTAGAATCGGGAATGTCCAGCATTTCCCACGGCGGTTCGCCTTAGGAATCTTTAGAGTCGAGCCCGCGCCTCTTGTACACCTGGAGCCTGCCCAAGCGAACGGTCTTGCCATCTTGCTCATAGAAGCGGCAGGACCTCTCCACATCGTCCAGCACCTGACCAAACCTTGAGTACCGGGAGTCCTCATGGCTTGCCAGCATTCCAAAGGCAGCTCCGTACCTCGAAATGCTGCATGGCCACATTTCAGAAGTTCCCCGAAGCAGAAGCAACACAACCTCACTCTCACTCCAAGCGAGGCTCTGGCACGAGTCCAATGCCCACATCTACCTCGTCACTCCAGTGCGCAGGATTGGGTGAGTCGCTGACCTTGACTTCACATCCCGTCTTCGCACACTCCGCCGTCACTTGTAAACACGAACAACGGAGACCGGGTTTTGGTTTATGTTGAAACTCTTTCTGACGGTGCTGGAAAAGGGAGGGGGGTTTGCTACTTTCAATCTGAACGAACTTCTCCTTTTTGCTGGATTCTAGCGTGCTTGAAGCTTTTCGTTCTGTGACTCGCCTTGCAAGAACTGCGCACGATCCTCACCAAGGGCGCTGAGGCAGGTACCGACCAAACAGATGCACCCACGCGATGCATGCAGTCAAAGCCCAGGCCCACCAGATCGTCCAGACCCTTCGTCAGTGTCTCACCACGGTCCATGAACTTGAGAATGTTGTCGTCCAGCACCATGACCGGAGCACCTAAGGATCGGACCGCTTCTCTGTGCAAGGAGAGGGCATACCATGACAAGCCATGCTGACAGAGTAGAGCTGAAGCTTGGGCCCTTCGGCATTATCTGGTCGATGAATGCAACTTGCCGCTCAGCTCCACGAACACCAACAAGCATTCGGTCTTTCCACGGTCCTGCATTCTGTCGGTAAGTCTCCAGCTCTGGATCGTCCACTGCCACGGCCAGCAAGCACACACCAAGACAGGGCAGCAGCTTCTCTAAGATGCCACACGTCATTTCCCGGAAAGCTTTCGCACGACCAAAACTTCTGATGACGTAGACATGCGAGTGCTTCTCATCCTGTCTAAGGCGGAGAGCACTCTGTGCCCTGGATCGGCCAGCCTCCAACAAAACAGGTGGAAAGTGGCTGTGGCTGTGCTGCACCTCTTCTGACGGCCTGTGGCTTGCCCTGCGAAGTAGAGGCCGGGCCCTCAATGAAGGGGCAGCCAAGCCCACAGGATGGCTCCAAGCAGAGCTTCTCAATATGGCGTGGATAGACTGGATGGGAATCGTGAGAACGAGGCAGATACAATGCATGCCTGGTGCACATCGGGCCATGGTACCTCGGAAATCTACATGGCATCACGGCCTCGCAACATGGTTGCGATGACGTGAACTCACCAACCAGCATGCTTGAGGACGAGAAGGCAGGCCGCAGCAAGCGTGAGGACAGCTAAGCCTTTCTTGAAAAGTCACGCCTGCTAGTAACTATCTTTTTTCAATAACAATATGGTCGAGCCTCTCTGAATTCACACGTTGTCATTGACATGTATCTTGGGCCGCCGCCACACTTAATGATAAGCAAACAGCCTGTTGCTCTGTTCGCAAGGGATTATTGCCCCTGCCCTGTCTCGGGCCTATGGGACACATTCAAAACATTATGCCCTGGAGTACCAATGAGAATGTTAGTGCAGCGCGACTGTTTGCTTTTCGCCTTCTCCGTGATGGCACCTGGGACGGACTGCCAAACCTGCCGGTGTGGCCGCTTCCAAGCGCTGCTTGGTCTCCGCCAGCTCAAGCTGAGCCTAAAGAGCACGCCGAGCATCGAAAAGGGAGCGAGCAAGAAGTCTGTTTGCCGGGTCGGCTGCCGAAACCTTTCGGTGTTTTGCCTTCACACAAGCCACCCGCAGTAACCCCCGCGGGCAGGTGAGCATTTCCAAGACATGGCCTGTGGAGAAGCAACTGCTCGGTGATCACTGGTGTACAAGGCCCTGGCACATTCTGCCGTAGCTACGTATGTAGCTTCACAGGGGCTTTGTGTTGGTGCAGGAATGTCAAGCCATCACAATCGCGTCGGGGCCGCGAATTTCTCCTGGAAAAACTGCAGACTTCAAAGAAGAAATGATCAGCTTTCGCCAGGGGTCATATTAGTTTGCACCGTCCTGTCATCTTCGTCATCCTCCTGGCAGTCGCCTCGCAGCCATGCAGTGTGGGAAGGTGCCAACACTTGATGCTGTCCTCTCTCTTCTCGTGCCTCGAGGAATCCGATTGATAATCGACGCTGGGAACCAGCCAGTATTGTCGTCACCATCCTATCGCAGTCTGCATGCCAGCTTCTCACATCAGCTGGCAACCGTCCCCCTCCTTGTGACCACCGCACCAGCCGTCCTCCTCTTCAAGGACCTGAGAAAGAACGGGTCGCGCAAAGCCAAATACCAGCCGACCTCCCAAGGCTGCCACCCACACAATGTCGCCCACATTGAGTGTGAGTTGTCCAACTTCCTGGTGTTCAATTGGAGAAGGCAGGGCTCTTATCCGGAAGGGCTCTCTTAGGCTCGCACTCCCGGAGGCGGAGTGTACCTCAGATGAGGGGGTGAAGGTGTCTCCCATACGGTCCTGCCTTTTGAAGCCCGGCCTTGCTCGGACCTCGCCTTTCGTCGCGTCGTTTATTGGGTAATCCCATCTGCACACGCATACGAAGGAAACATCTCCAGCCACGAAGTCAACTGCAGTCCGACTGAGTCCGTGACCGACTCTGCTGCTTTTGCTCCTCCGTCTGCGTCGTCATTCCACCTGGGATGCCGACTACCCTACCACCCTACACGTACGGCTGCAAGCAGCTGGGGACGGAGCCAAACCTCCTCGGCACCGCAAGGCGACTGGACGCCCACCGCACTACCAAGTCCCAAGCCATAGAAATCAGATCAGAAGTTGGGTCCCAACATATCCCAACCCTTCAATGCCCAGTCCCAGTCTACTCAAGTGAGGCCGGATGTACCACAGTCTGTGAGAGCGCGCTTTTGTCCCGTTCTACGCTTTGGCTGGTTTTCTCCTCCACTCAGCAGGACCCATCCAGCTCCTGCGGGCCGCCAAAAATCTGCAAGAGCTCAGTGGTCACCAGGGCGGTCCTCTCCAACATTCGACTCGTAAACTTGTTCTTCCGCATCCTTTGCTGCACCTGCATCTTTGATCTGAGCTTCACGAAGGTGCTAGACAACTTCGCACCAAGGTTTGCCGCACAATTACCCCAGCCACCCAAGCATCGCCCGAAGCCGCGAGTCCGTACTCTGCTTTTCTCAAGACCACCAAGATTGGCCGAAGACCTGCTTTACCTTTACCCCTTTACGACACAAAACTACCCTCCGTCATTGCTCTGCTCTGTTCAAACTGTCGGCCGCCAGGAATTGCCTCTGGCGCAAGAAGCTCCTGCATGTTCCTCACCTTGGCCAGAATCGAATGCAATCACCAAGATGGGCACACACCAATGAAGTTAGACGTTCAGAAACCTCGCAAGGCACAAGGAGAAGCTTTAGGCAAGCGGAGAAGGGCTTAGCAAAAACGTGCTATTGATTTGCTGCAGAAGCGACCCCGTCCAGCGAGCCATCTTGCGGCCAGGCCCAGAACAGGGCTGCCAGGCTCCAGTCGGGCATCTTCTTTAACATGCGCGTCTTCCTTTGCCAAGCTTGATGTATCTAGTCTCAGCCTAAGTCGTGCTCTTGTTCTTCTAAGGTGCTGTAGCCGATCTGCAACAGCATCAAGGAGCAGGTTCATCTGCATGTCCTCTCGTCGATGCGTGGCTGCTGGCCGAAGATGCACTTTCCAGGAGCTGCTGACACTAGCACTCTTGCCGAAGGCAACCGGTCCTTATAGCCCAAGCGCGTCAGCGACATCACAATCCTCGGTGAAGCAATTGACTCGGCTTCGGCCTCGCAGACATGCAAAGCGACCTTGCATGACAAGGGTCATTGGCAAGTCCTGGTGCGCTTCCTTACGCTTTGACTTGGCCACCCTCCCAGTGGCCGTCTTTGCGATCATGCCCAGCACATCCATATCCCTGCATCTGCATTGGTACAAAGTGGTGCTCGCCCCTCACAAAGAGTTCAACTGTGAAACAAGACTCCCCCGCTATATGTAAAAGCAGCCCCAGGCCTCTCTCTCTCTCGCTCTCTCTCCGTTGACAAGGCCTGAAGTCCAGCTGCGACAGGCCGAAAACAAAGTTGGCTATGTCCTCAACGGTGCGACATGCATGACGACAGTGAGCAATCGTTTCTCTTCATGCTTCGCCGGTGTCCTTCAGAGGAAGTATCTCTAGCTCGAATCTTCGGAGGCGCTTCGGCAAGGCACTGATCTGCGCGACCTGGCAGCAAAAAAGACCCAGCCGGATTCTAAGTGTGGTGAAGCATGGTGAAGATGCAACTCCACTATAAGGAACTACAAGAAATGCGCTGTTGCATCTCTAGGAATGACAGGAGCCTCCCCATCGGCAATGGACTCAAGATGCCATCCAGATGCGGATGAATATGAAGATGAAAACAGCGATATATGATATATGTATAGAAGAAACATAAATATATATATATATACATATGAAGAGAGAAAAGCCGTTGATGAAGATGAAGATGGCGACAATGATGATGGTCGTGATGGAGATGATGATGCTGATGACAATGATGACAATATCCGGATGGTGATGTTTAGAATGATGAACGTGTTGATGATGACGAAGATGATAGTGATGGTGATGTTGTTGATGATGATGATGATGATGATGGTGAGCCACTGCTTTGGTGATTCTGGTTGTGATGGGGGATCGTGACGGACGCTGACGGAAGATGAACATGAAGACCACCCTGGACCATAGCCATCGTCAGCACCATCGCCACCATCACAACCACCTTTAGCATCATCCCCGCCACTTCCAGCATGATTATCGTGCTGCTAATGGTGATGATGCTGACGGTGACGCTTATCACAACTATGATCAAGTGATGAAAATGGTGACGATGATGCTGCTTGTGAAGATGGCGACAAGAAGATGAACATGACAATGATCATGACAGTGATGGTGGTATGACGACGATGATAACAATGGCAATGTCACCGCCATGTTCATCACCATGCTCATCATCAAAACCGTGATGGCATCACCAATCTGGAAGGCATCTTATTCTTCTTCTCTTGGCAATGGGTATTCTTGACGTTGCAGTCGCTGCCATTGCTGTTTCTGCTGCTGCAGTGTGCAGGCGCTGCTGCTGCTGCCGCCGCCACTGCTGCTACTGTGATGCTGGTGCCGCTACTCTTGCCACAGCCTCCTGAGCGTCATCGCGGCAGACACAACCGTCAGCACCAAAGGCAGCGACAACGTCATCCTCATCATCATCATCATCATCACTCCCATCATCTTCTTCGCCATATGTTGCCTTCCTGATCTGTTGATAGCTACTCCAAGCCTCCAAGCACCCACACTCAGTCCCTTCAAAGGCCTCATCCTGCCGAAGGTCCAACCTTCTTCGTTGGTGAACAGTTGATGACCAATCAACAGTGAAACATGCTGCCTCAGGCCTACACTGCCCCAACGGACAATGGCCCGACTGAGCACAGCACTTGCCGGATGCCCAAATGAAGGCCACGAGCTGGCTTAGCACAGTGGCAGATCCAAAGACAGCTTTGATCAATGCAGTTTGCAACAGCAGCTGTAGTGCTTCTCTGACAAATCTCGAAGGCTTTACAAATGCCATCGAACTTGCAACGTACACCGCTGCACCTTCAAACACTGATTCAGTCATGTCACCTTGGCTGCAAGTCGGCAGCCTCGCGCAGCGAGCGGTCAGATTTCGGGAGAGCTGTCGGCAGAATAAAAGACGATTCTACATTCTGCGGCCACTCTGCGAAAGTTCGAAGGTTTGTAGCAGAAAGCAACTCGCCTTTGGAAGAACAAAACTGAGCAAGGCCGGAATCATCTCATCCACCTGCTCGGCCAGCGGTTGCTTCACGTTCCTTGTCACTTCCAAGCTTCGCCCTAACAACACGGACCTCCTCTGCATAAGGCTGCAAATTCGCAGCAGAACACCAGCAGGAGGTCAAGTTCTGCGCATTCATATCTCGAGCGGCCTGCTGTGTGGAGCCGGAGGATCGACTTTGAGTCACGAAGTCGTACGACCACGCCTCGACGACGACATCTCGCAGGGTCGGCAAGAGAGGACGGGTGTCTGCCACCAGCCTTCCACAGGACCACCTCGACTGTGAGGTCAACTTAGAGACAAAACGTCTTCGTCCAACAAGGACTGAGGACCGTCTGTGCGAATTGCGATGCCGCCCAGACCCCTGCGACTTCTACATACTACTACACAAGAGCTTCTTGTGATGCCAAATGCGGGAGTTGGTGAGGGAGGGAATTCTAAACACCGTCTGTCAGGATGATAATTGGAAGATTGCTATGGAGTTGGTCATGTCCTGCATGTCATACTAGGTGTTACCTGGAGCATTTTATACAAAAGCATACAAAAGCATTGCTTCTTCTTCGTCTTCACTGTGTCTGCGTAAGGCCTGGCCAGGGCGAAAAGAGGTGCATGTACTTTACGCTCTGCGATTGGTCTCTGTTTGAGTATGCAATCAGAACAAAGTTGCCTAAAGTTGCCTGGCATTTGTAGTGGCAAGACCTCCGAACAGCTTCTGGACAGTCGATCCCAGACCTTAAGCAGATGCCCCGAAGAATTCCGTGCCGATGGCTCGATGACACGTGTCGGACTTAGATTAGATCCATCGTGGCATAGTGAATATGCCAACATGCGACTTTCGACACCAGCCGAGTGGCATCAGCGATGACACGACCAGAGGATCCACCTGCTGTTCAGCAAGCAAGTCCTGCAGCGACTCCATCAAATCCTGCGCTCGTCTGCAGGTGCTCTTCGCGGTGCCCCTACAGCTCTAGTGACTCTAGTGTGAGATTGCGCTGACTTCAAAACACTTCCAACTCGGCGTTGTACCCTCAAAAACTCAACAAAGGAGTGCCTGTTTTCAGCAATGCACGTGTGCAATGGTCAGGCATTCGCGCGCCTCAGTCGGAGGCTCCCGTCGCAACGCGTGCCTGCTTTGAATCGAAGGCAGCTGCGAGACAGACAAGACTTGCTTTACATCCTCCCAAACTCTGAAATCAATATGCTAGAAGCATCAGCTCAGACTTGGGCACTCAAGGGAGCACTGCTGATGAAATCAAGCGTCTGTTGCAAAGCCGCGGCTGCCGCCCGGAGGACTTCCGCATCCCCAGCTCCAATCAGATCCTGAAGGCTATGGAAGCTCTCTGCACTGCATGTTCATTTTCCGTCCATCCTTCTGGGCTTCAGCCTCCACGCGTTGCAGGACTGCGAGCAAGCTGTCTAGCAGAAGCTCGATGCTTTGAGGATTCCTGCTTGGCTTGGTCGCCAAGCAAGCCTGCGTTGCAAATCTTGGTCAAGTTCGGCTCCAGCTTCCATTACAGGTGTTTTCCTCATCGTTTCCCGATGTTGTTCCACAACTTTTCAACCAGTGCCTCCCAATGCAAAACATTATTGAGGATGCCACAGACTGTAACGTACTCCACGTTGTGCTGTTATGTGCTGTTCGAAACTGCCGCCACTTGGCAGAAAAGAAGCCGAGGAGCCATCGATGGCTGACCGTCGTGCATCTGCACCTGCCAAGACGCCGGAATGCTCTCTGTGATTCAGTATCATGTCAGGATATGTCAGGTAAAGTTTTGCAAGTCCCCACATGAGGCGCCGATGGAAGTCCTTGTCTCTTCATGCGGACTGGATGCCTTGAAGCCAGCATTGGTCAGCTCGCCTTGTACCATAGCACTAACCTGATTTGCAGAATAGCTGTCGACCACGTGCCTGTCCCCATGAGTTGCGTGAGTACGTATGCTGTAGTCGAATTACGAAGATGACTTCCGCAAGCAAAAACAGCCGATTACAGATAGCATCCACCAAGCTGACACTTCCTTTACCAAAACAACACAAAGCAGTCTGCCTGAAGCCTAGGATAGTCCGACGGAGTGTCGCCCTTCGTGTACCGAACTGCCGGCAGGCAGCTGCGTCGATGTCCAGCTTGTCTGCATCTTGTCTGGAGGTCTCCAGCTTGAAAGCTGACCTGCACTCAACGACACGCCCAACGAGTACACAAGCAAGCATCGCTGTTTGGCCTCGTGAGCTTTGGGACTCCGAGGTCATCCTCCGGTTCAGAATCCTCTTCGTAATCGCTCCTCTCCTCGGTCACAGTCTCTTCAAGAGCATGTGGAAGACTATGCAGCTAGGAGTCCTCGGCAAACACTTCCCGCGAGGCCAGTGCACTTTGGGCAAGAGTCCTGACATGGAAGCCGGTTCCGTTCTTCGCGTGCAGTTCGAAGCTGAGTCAAGCACCGCCCCCTTGTCCGATGCACGGGCGCGCAAAAGCCAGGAGGAGCACCTGCAAAGTCGTTGGAATCGTCGGCGACTCGCTGTCTCCAGCGCAGACCCGGCCTTGGCCCAGGATCTTCAGGGCCACAGCAGCGAGTGCCTGATGGGGGCAAGACGAGCCAGCAGTAAGCAGTACCTTACCTGCAGCGGTAGGTGCAGACAAGAATCCAAAGGACCCAAAAGCCTGCATCCGGCAGAGACAGCACAAACTTCTGGCAGGGAGGACAGCGCCACCTGTTGCAAAAACCAAGAGCCTCCTGTGCCGGACCCCAGCTGCTTGCTCGGCATCCATCGCAACCGACTGGGCTATGTAATTACACTGCAGACCTATGCGACCGTTGGAATTTTCTACACAACATCCGCCACGAGCGTAGTCCTCCGGTCTAGCATCTAGAGGTGATTCTGGGAATTGCGCTTGTCGAGTTGTGTCTGTGAGGCAGGCGGCACAGGGATGGTCTGACTATCTAAGCTGTTCTGAAAGCCACTTGGCTTTCAAAGTTTCGGAGCTTCGATCAACCCGCAGTTGCTGCATGAAAAAAAGCCAGGTCTCGGCGCAGAGTTTTTATTGCTCTTTCTGGGCCGCTCCTGCTCCTGTTTTTGTAGCTTCTGCCCAGAAGGTGCACAGCCTCCGCCTGTAACTTCGACACATCAGCCCTTGAAAGATGGAAACAGAAGTCTGATATCCACAGGCGCAGACTGGAGACCTAGGGCTGAAGGGCTGGGACCTCCACTGCACGGAGAAAGTGGAGATCTGCATTAAAGAGCAGACGCTCCACAAATGCGCCAGCAAGAAGAGATGCCGCGTAAGTCATGCTAAGCTGCAAGCACTGCAACGGAAAATCCTATACTTGAGCGCATGGGGCGCTGTGCATGCACATTGACCAGCCTGATATTATGGTGATTGAGAACAGTGTCAGTCTGAACCGGTGCCAACCGTTTGGGATCTTTCAAGACACGCACGAATACAAGCGCCAAATGAAGCTGTGTTACAGCTCCGGGCAGCCTACGATTACGCAGCCGCGCAGGGCGCTCGGATGCGCTCTCCATCTTCATGCACTGAAGTCGATACGATTCGATTCGTCAAACCTCGGTCGAAATTAGCCACAATCGTGAACAGCACCCTCTTTCACTGCACTGCCGAGGTGGGCGCATCAGGGTAGCTCACGGACGCGTCCTTTGGACCTTGACTCAAGCGATTGGGATGATGCTTCTGCAATTTACAAAAACAGCGTCGGTGCAAAGCATTGAATGGGGCGGTGCACCCCTCAGGCGTTCCCGTGCTGGTAAGTCCATGCCGCAGCACAGGATGCGAAACATTCACAACTGACTGTGCTGCGCGAGTGAGCACAAAAAGACCGTGCCAATCTAAGACCAGTGCCAGGACGAGTCTCCGTCCCTGTCATCAGCATCATCCAGCTTATCCACGTCGTCACCTGTCAGGCTGGTTGCTGTTGACAAAGCAATTGCGGTTAAGGTTCGGTGGCTTCGAAAGCCCTCAGTGCACGGCGGTCCCGTAAGGCAGCATGCGCCAGGCTCACCTGGAGCGCAGAGCTTGAGGCGGGTGAAGACACGTGGAGAGTGAAGATAGAGCTCAAGGAGCGAGTTCTGATGCGAGCAGTTGCACAAAAATGCTTGAAAAAGTGATGCCAAGGTTCAATTAGCCTCTTGCAGAGACTTGCAACATGCCAGGCCCACACCACCACTGCACAATGCTGCGGACCACAGGACTGGACCTGGCTGCAACAGGCACAGGTGATCTTCCATCCAGATCAGATCTGAGGCAGAGGCCCATGAAGAGGTGCAGGAAGAGAAGTGTTGGCAAGGCCATGATCAACTGGATGCAACAATTCGTTTGACGGTCTGCGCAACGAAGTCAACTTGAGACTCCCACCATTTTCATGTTGGATCCAAGAGGCACCTGGACACCACCTGCACAAGCCGCCGGATCAAGAATTACGGTCTCTGGATGGTGCTGAGTGCTGATTTCTATGCTTCCACTTTTATCCCTTCGTCAATAGAGAAGCACAGTGAAACCTGTGCCCCAACGGCTCAGCCGGCCGTGACTCTATTTCAGCACCCGCGGCACTGACCCTGGTGGAGTTGACACCCACCGAACTCCATGCATTCGCGTTGAAAAACGGCCACAGGCCACGATACCTCCCAATCACTCCATCCCAACCAGAAATTAGCAGCTGTGGAACATGCACTGGTATACTCATCTCCAACAGTGCATGCCCGTGACAGCGAAGCCTTGCAAAAACGCAAGGCCATATTCCAGTTGGAATGCTGACAGACAGAAGATCCACCTATCGCCAGCGTCCATGGACGATTTCTGAACCTGGAGATAAGCTCACCACTCTGCATGCCATAGCACAACTCAAAATCCTTTGCTACCCGGAACGACTGCCGGCGCTGAGGGTTGCGCTGTTCACTGCGCATGGCATGGGACCATCCACCACCAACTCCAGCAAGCCTCAGGTGCAGTCTGGCAGCAGTCACGATATTGGATATTACATCTTCTTGTGCTCTCATTGCCGCCGCCGCGTGTCAAGACTTGCTGCTTGTTCCGTACTGATGGCGCCGACATCAGGTATCAGGCCCGCACATCATTAGCAGCATTGGCGATGTGCAAACGAACTGGCAGAGACCGCAGACTTAAGACAAAGCAATGAGAAATCTTCCATGAGCCATGGCAGCGCACCATAAACAGCATCGCCAGAAAGATGAAAGCATAGTTCGGGCCTATGGGATGTGGGCTGACGCAGTCGACGCCGTCAAGGACATGCATCATATGCACAAGAAGCCACAGCAAAGGCCAAAACAGAAGTGTCGTGCGTTTGCAATCACCTGCAGCAATTTGCACATGTGTGCAGAGCAGGGCGCTCATGGACATGCCGCACGGCTAAGTTTGCAGCATTCCGCTGGAAGTAGATTTGAATCTCACCACGGCGAGAGGCTTGCCGGACACCCTGCGAAACTGGTCTGGGCACTTAAGATCCGCAGTGGCGGATTTGCAAACCCACCTCGAGGATTCTGCTCGGATTGAGACGGGCGAACCTTCAGAGACAGGGCTTGGAACGAGACTGAAAAGCTCAAGTTGCCGGACGCAGGAGGTCTGAGGCAGTCGCTCATTCCAAGGCCGCAGATATCGGCGAGCTGCGGCTGTGTACCTCAGGCCGCACAACAGATGCCGGCGAATGCATGAGCGTGAACTACTTGGGGAAGCTCTTACAAGCAATATCCCAGTCATCGAACATATCGAACTACAGCGCACGCTCTCGCCATGTAGCGAGGAATTTGCATCAGGTTGCGCCCCTGCTCCGTTACCTGAGAAGGACTTGCAAAATCTGAGCAACATGGACTTCACTGCGGCATCTGAGCGGTCGTGCCACTTCCGTCAATGGCCGCGATGTCAGCTGCTGCATGATAGCTTGTGGGTTCAAGCTGGACAAGGACAGCCTCAAAGGTAAATGCAAAGTGCGGAAAGTTTGGTCAGGGAGCTGAGAAATGTCGTCGGACGGCTTCCAAGGACCGCGCGTCGGTCCGCTCCCTGAATGTAGCATCACCGACAGCACAAATTCTACGGTAGCCACCATGAGAGCACAGCCTCCTTCCAAGCTGGAAGGCCCTCGATCTCGCGATCCGAAGCCGGTGCTGCTGCTGGGCAGAGTGCAAAGTCTCTCTGACGCGGAACGACAGCAGGAGTGTTCAAATGCAGCTGGCAGCAAAGAAGGCACCTGCTGCTCGGACCACTAGGAGGCCGAAAGCTAGGACCCGGCCTCGACATGTCACTTCGAAGAGCGCAGAATGCAAAGCCACATGCAGCCAGTTGATCCAGCAGCACCACCATGGGCCAAAACCAACAACGTCGACGACAGACCCGGCAAGGTCAAAAGTTGCACATGTCACACTCACTGAAGGACTTCGACCACCACAACCACGACGACCACAGCAGGACAGCATGATCAACACACAGTTGCCTAGTGATGGCTAGGTCCAGGCGCTGTATACCGACTCCAAAAAGCCATAAGTGTGTGGCGGGGGAGTCGAATAGCTCGCGGCGCTGTGGCCAGAAAGATCCACCGTCTTGCCTGCTGCAAACATAACGCCAAGAGTACATGGAAGCTTCGTGCTGCACCTGGATCTGGTGCTGAAGGCGGAGTGTAGTACTCCGTCCCGGGTATGTACTGCCTCCGTGTTGTCAAGATCATAACATCGTCGAGGACAAGATGTTCTTATGCGTCATGGATTGCAGCAAAGTCTCTGATGGCTGTACTGTTGCCCAGTGCTTGGTGGCCTTGCCAATAGCATGGTCGCAAACGGTTTATCAACTTGAGGGTGACGCTCAAGGCTTTAGCTGAGATTCACGCCCCAGCAAATCTTCCATGGCATTGCCCGCCATCCTGACAGCGCGAGACGCTCAAATAATCGTTGGGAGAGCTCTAGCAAACGTTCCCAAAGGAGGCATACCGGGCCTGCTTCAGCAAATTGGCGGCCCCAAAACTCTGTAACTATCTGCTTAAGCCGCACGCAGCATGGTTGCAACATCGTAACAAGCAAGCATCAGCAACCGGTGACAGAACAACTCCTCGCAACGTGGAAGCAGCCTGTGATGAAGTCATGTTCACATACGGATGCTGCATGGTCGTTTCGCGCGGGCTTCTGCTCAATTACTCTTTCTGTTCATTACTATCAATCCTGCGGCGATTGTTAACATACTCCTGCATGGAATCAATGTCAACCCACAGCACACGGGCTCTTGCAGAATGTCTCTACAAAACGCTGGCAAGTCAGCACTGTGCAGCAAAAAGAGCTCTGAGCACACGGGTTGGACTCAGCCACAGAACCATCCACAGAGCTTGGCCTTCAACTTTTCTGGGCCAGCGTGCTGCTGAATCATGAACTGGCGCCTGTGCCAGCTGCATCCGCAAAATGCCAAGTTTTTCTCCTATTCGAATACACCAGTGACATGGCAAGCAAATCCCAACAGTAACGTTGCTGCAACAAAGACTGCGTTACGGTAAACACCCGCAAGGGAATTCTGAAGCGAGTGGTTTGGAAGTCAATGCAGGAACGGGTAGATGTGGCACATCCCTTCAGTTGAGATCCGCTTGCGCACATTTGATCTTTCGCATTTGCGTATATCTGCGGAAGTTTATTCACATCATTCATTATTGTCTTGTGTGTAATATCACAAGATGCAGAGCCAATCCCCGTAACAAATCGTACCCCCTGTCTCGTGTGTGCTATCATAAGACGCACCAATGCCTGTAACAAATCGTACTTCCTGTCTTGTGTGTGATATCACAAGACGCAGAACACAATGCCCGTAACAACTCGCACCCCTTATTTCGTGTTGACATCACAAGACGCAGACACACAGCCCGTAACAAGTCGTGGCTCCTGTCTCGTGTGTGATATCATATGACGCAGAGCCCAACGCCAGTAACAAATCAAACCCGTGTCTCGTGTGATATCAACATACGCAAAGCCCAATGCCTGTAACAAATCGTATCCTCTGTCTCGTGCGCTATGACAACACGCAGTATGTTGTCACAAAAACATACAAACGCTGGACCTGTTTACAAAGTGGAAACAGTGGCAGGAACATTACGAATTTCGGCGCAGCTAGGGAAAACCCGGGTCCTGCAACTTCCACCCGGTCACGAAAGTGAGATTGACCAATAACTAGCTCTCTTTCGCAACTGGCAAGTGACAGTGTTGCGTCAAAGATTCGAAGGTTGGCTTGCAAGTGAAGAGAAGATCGTCTTTCAGCCGAATCCTTCTTCGAAAAACTAAAGTGTTTTTGCACGTGAGTGCAACGACACTGAAAGTTCGATAAAGTCGACATTTGGTTTTTTAGTCGTTCCACTTCAAGATCGGTTTGTTAATTGAAATGTTACTTCAGTGCCAGAATGCGAGTTTTTGCTTCTAAATTCCTTGTGTCAAGAAAATGTACGATCTTTCGCGGTAACCATCCCATTTTTTGTCTTTTGTGCAATAGTCGCTTGAGTTGCAGTCCAAAGTTACAATCAGCGCGATGTCCTGCTGTTGCTGGCTCTTGGAATGCAAGCTGCTTCTTGCTCCATAAACGGAGTGATGGACAATTAGACTCTTCCCGCTTTTTCAAAAGAGTGCCGCTCTGCGCCACGCCTCTCTCTCAGGGGAAAGCCTCCAACTCCCGCCACAACCCTGTTGAGCGATTCGCGATTCTAATTTTCGGGAGTGACCTCGGAGCTCGATTCGACTCAAAACTGC